ACACACACACACACACACACACACACACATCAGAAATGAGAAATTTATCCCAGTGAAGGAATTGTAGAAGAAGAGGACAGAATGTAAGAAAAGAAAAAGAGGCAGTTCTGACAGAATAAAGTTCTTGATGATAATAGGTTATTGTGGTCTCAATTAAATGAGAGTAAGATATAAAGCAAGATGTTATTTCACAAATGAACAGCAGAATTCTTGCTTTAGGATTCATTTTTACTTACTTGAAGTTTCAGATTTGGTTGTGCAGCTTCAAAATGCCTGATTAAGGAAATTTCTCAAAATATTATTTTCTAAACTTTAAAAAATCAGTATATACGTATCTCTGCCATTTACCTGAACTTCCTGGGGGGCCAGGGGGGCCAGGGAAACCAGGTGGTCCTGGTTCACCATCTAAACCGGGAGGACCTGGATAAAGAGCTGAGAAACCAGGATCGCCAATAAAACCTTTGGGGCCCATTTCTCCAGGCAAACCTCTTTTACCAGAAACATCTGGAATGGGGAAAAGAGTGGATCTAGGTGACTTTTAGAAGGCTGTAGATGAAAAGATGCTAATAATAAATGTTAGACTTCTGGGATAGTCAGAACAGTAATAAGTACAATACTTTTAATCTAAACATTTTTATCAGAATGGGTCTTCATTTAATCATGTATAGGTGAAAAGGAAACAGATAAATCTTAGTACAGGTAGTGCCCAGTTTAAGAATGAGTTCCATTCCCAAGGTCTGTCCTTAAGCGAATTTGTACATAAGCTGGAACAGTATTATTGTATAATACTGTATAAATAGTATTGGGTAATGAACTTGAACCATTGTGTATTTAACTCAAATCATTGTGTATTTAACTCAAATTTTGCTACAGTAGGCTCCATTCTTAACTATGGGTTGTCCATAAACCAGGCATTCTTAACCCAGGGACTATCTGTAATCATGATCCTCTCTCTAGAGTTATATCCCTTGGCTGGTGATCTGTGAAAAAGAGTTTTCTTTATTCTCTTATTTATTGAACAAAACTTAAGGACCACCCCATTTTGGCTAACCCTGGAGAGTACTGTACACAGAAACAAACCAATAAGAATCTCTCCACTATTAAAACAAACAGTACAATAAATCAATTATCATAATCATGTCAACAAAAATAAAAGAAAAAAAACAAAATAGTAGAAAAACACAGCCCCAGATCACCATAGGTCATAAAGGCCTGCTGAAATAGAACAATCCTGACTGTATTCCCAAATGCGCCTCCTGACAGGAGCATATTTGATAATGTGTTATTTGATAACATGAGGTCCACAATCCAAAATACTTTCTTCCTCATCTTTCCACCCCTTGACTTCTTGTGGGGGTGGAACCTGGCCCTCCCTCGATGGAGGGACAAGATGGACAGTATTCTTCTTGACAGAGCGGTCCCTGATATATCCCAGTGCCATGCTGTATAAGGTTTTATCAATTTGACTTGGCCTTGGAGGCCCTTTGACAACCAATGCAGTGACTGAACGGCAGATGCTATTCTACTATAGTGGGTCTCCCCGAGTAGTAGTTTGGCTACAACATTTTGAACTAGCTGCAGTGTCTGAATCATTCTAAAGACAGTCCCAAATAGAGTTCATTTCAGAAGTCCAGCTGTGAGGTGATCAAAGCGTAATCACCTTCATGATCCAGGTAGAGCTGCAACTGTCACTCCTACTGAAGCTGGGCATAGGCTCCTCTGACCACAGCTTCCATCTGCTGCTGAAGCAGGAGCCACGAGTCCAGAAAGATCCTCAAACTGCAGACCAACTCCTTCAAAGGTAGATGACCTCATCAAGAGTCAGTACTGGGGCTGATGTTAATTGATGCCACCAAAGTTAACAAATGTACAGCTGCACTATCTTACTGGGGTTTAATGTGAACTTCTTTCTCTCCATTCAGCCTCTGGATACCAATGCAGTATGTCTATAGCATCTAAAGCTTAGATACACCAGTCCCCCAAACAGTGTCTCCACACTGACCAATCTCATCACTGTTCTCCACTTCTGATAATCTATATTCTTCATTTCCATTGCCTCTGCTTTCATTACCTTCTCTCAGATGTCACAATTACCAGCTTGAACACAATCTATTCAGTCATATCAACCCCTCCATAGCTGCCTATCATGCAATGATAGCCACCACATTACTGTCTGTCTGCCTTACTCTTGTGATGTACCTCCAGAAAAGTGTTGCCAGTGTAGCTCATTTTCTTTTACAGTCCCATTTCACTCTTAATGGCCCAAAACAGCCCAATACATTCTTCTCTGGGATGGACCAAGGTCTAGTTAACTTCACAATTTGCCTGTTCTTCTTATCTTCCACCGTTCCCATCTCACTCCCAATTCTGAGCACAAACTCTTCTTAACAATACATAACAGCATCCAAAATCTAATTCTCAAAAACCCCTCCAACTTCTTTTTCTCCTTTCATCTGCTCACTTAGTTAACATAGTCCTACAATAATATTCCAGAACAAACAAACCATAGCCAGATGAAACTGTTAAAATAGAGCTTCTATACAGCTTTAACATGTATTCATTGTATAAATCTCTGCAAATTTGTATTTTAGTGCTGCTAAAAGTTTTTTTTTTAAATCAGATACACGTAATAACCCTTAAACATTGAAAGAATCACTTATAGATATCCTTTACTGATACTTGTTATAACTGAGTTGTGTTGGAAGTGTGAATTTAATAGCACTGACTTTTCAGCACCTCATGACTTCTTGACCACAAGGGTTAGTGGGAGATTAAGGATTTATTCACTGTCCCTTCTTCATCCGTCACTGCCTGAGATTGCTAATCTGAGGTCATTTCCTTCTACCTTTGTTTCCAGATACATATGCATGAAGCACATGGTTGCTGACTCTCCTTGCAGGATATTGCTGGTTAGATATTAGGCTTCAACTATCTCTTTAAAGTATTTCTTGTAAATAAATCTCCTTTCTGTTATAGTTGCCATCCCTGGGGCGGTCCTTGGACGCGGCTCAGGAGTTCATGGCTACCATGGCAGCCATGGGCCTGTCACAAATGGTGCGGGACCCAACCCGAGACAGTGGCCACATGCTGG